CCCGTAAGAAACATTTTAAAACATTGTAAACGTGTAATGTGATTGTTAGAAAAGTAATATTTAATTTATTAAAATACAAACAGTTAAGATGTTAGAAACAAAATAGTTACCAGAATTAACAAAATACAGAATGCACTTCGTGAGAAATAAAATAGGTAACTAAGTATTAAAATCTTCAATGAGTAGAAAAATTGTAATCGTACTGGAATCGTTTTTCAAAATAAGTGGCATAACCTCTTGCCACTTATTTTGAAAAGCGACTCTACTACGACTACGAATAAAGTATGTAGACATTTTAGGCTTTGCCTTTTAATAAAACCACTATTCCAATAACATTCCAATAACAAAAGAACGTCTTCATTTGACTTTACCGGCCCTCAACATTAACTTCAACGTAATCACCAAACTACAAAAACAAAGTGACCTGCCCTCCGAAAAGTCCGAAAGTGTCGCAACTGGCAATTAAAGACCTTTTTTGCATCGTTACGACATTATGACAATCCCGAAAAGTAAGAAGATTGTAACATTAACTCACGCTTCGCTTGAGGGGTTAAAGTTGTAAACTTGCGGGCGTGTCTATCATAAAGGAAAAACGGACGCCGAATTTATGAAGATAGACAAACTTGGGCGAAGTTTGGAGATCTTAGTTGTCAAGGTTCCCGCTGGATATGAATCTTGAATCAATTTGGGTTGTTTTTATAACTTTGAAGAGCCTCGGTTAAAACTACTTACGATTTTTTTGTTGTAACGAAAACAATGTAAACTTACTACACCTGTGTGCTTACCATGACTTTACATTAGATGTGCTTGTTAGCGACTGCGTAAAAAATGACATTAAAATGTAAAAATGACAGATTGTGCAGCGCCTCTAGCGGCTACTTCCAAGAACTAACATCTTCATAGATTTTTTTGACGCACTCGCTAGCGAGCACACTTATGGTAAACTCATGGAAAGCACACTGAACTAATATCTTGAACAGAGAAATAAGTGGATAAAATATTAATTTTGCATCTTTGCGTGGGTGCTTTCGATAAAAAAAAATTTAAACAAAACGAAGTGTTTAAAGGAGAAAGTAGCCAAACTGTCAGGCAGTGTAGGGAGTTTATGTCAAATAATAAATCAATTGCCATAGTAAAATGGAGAGGATCATGCTTCTGTAGTGGAGACAAAATCATCTAATGTTGATACAGGACTATTCCCACCTCTCGTTCCCACCACTGCAACTCCTGTGTAGCCAGGATCTACAGCTTGACCGTCACAAAAACCCAACCAATGAAGGTCAAGTTTGTCCCGGGGGAAAGTTAAACTGTCATTGGACCCGCAACGAAATTAATGAGAAGAACATAGGAGGAGTTCGAAATTAAGGTTCGACTGCCCTCCATTGCAAAGCGGATGACGGGTGACAATCAAAGGTTTTAATAACCTTTATGAAAAGACAATAAATATCAATTATGGGGGCCTATCTTATGAGCAATTAGCTACCTGCCAATAATATTTTTCACAAAATCATTAGATTTCATCATCATTAGATGATGATGATGAAAATGGAAAAACAGTAGGCACAAAACTCAAAATTTTGCCTTGATTCTCATCCACTCTGCAACATGTATAATCCATGCCAACTATGTTACACAGTAGTGTGTGTGTATATATGCGGTATAATGCTCACTACACTCCAGCTTTGATACCTTGTGTCAGTTCATCTCGCCCCTCTGTTTATATGCATACTATTACTATACATGTACATACAGGGTGTCAATTTGAAGGTGAAAATTCTAATCTTTATTTGCATAGTAAGTTCACAGGGTGTTATTCTTATTCATTGAAAGATTTCACTCAAGTCAAGTTTTCTATTGACAGAAAATATCTGATGTTACTGCAGCACTGGTTCAGACGTTACACTATTGCCAGTTTAACTTTCCCCCGGGACAAACTTGACCTTCATTGGTTGGGTTTTTATGGCGGTCAAGCTGTAGATCCTGGCTACACAGGAGTTGCAGCGGTGGGAACGAGAGGTGGGAATAGTCGTGTAAGCCACTATTGACGTCTGACAATACCTACCTCGCGATCATTCGATACAAGGAATCAATGCGAATAACCAGTTGAATCAATTCTGCAATTTATTCACTAAAATTGACCCGGCGAACTTCGTACCGCCTAAGTAATGTAGAGATTCTAACGGTGAAAGATTTTTTTCACATCGGTCCAGTAGTTTCGGAGCCTATTCAACATCAAACAATCAAATCTTTTTTCTTTATTAAAACAGCAATTATCTTTGACAATTTTTTAACCCCCAATGGAAAAATTACGCACGGGAAAAAGCTGAATAAAGGATCTGACTTACACAAACGGTACCCTGACACGACATTAGCGGTTAATATTTATTAAGGCTTAAAATATTATTTATTAGTTTTTAGACTTTATTTTTTGTATCGGGAGTTTTGAAAATTTTTCATTTTATTTTATTCAATAGTCTAAACTGGATGCAAAGCTCCCTATACCTATATTTTATTGTTAACTATAACAGTTTAAGCCCGTTACAAAACGCTTTATTATTTGCCGGTATACCCGGGTCCTGAAAATGTATCGGTTCCCGGAACCGGTGCATAACCGGTTTTATGAGCCGCTGGCAACTCAAAATAACTGATTTTGGGACGTATAGAATCCCATCACCGTCGTCAATCACTCAAGAGAGTAGGAACTAGGAATTTAATGGTTTTGCACTACGAGTATGTCCGATCCGAATTCGTGAAAATACGTTTTTTTTTAATTCACAACGAGGAAGCTCTTGGCCTGTATCTCACCTGATGGTAAGTGACGATCAGGCCGAAGGTGGAAGCGAGCTTCACCCGGAATCCTCAACCACGGGGGAACTGGCTATCTTACCTCTAACTGCCGGAACACAGTGTTATGGCGTCAGATTTAGGTAGTTTTCCAGTGACTTGGCCCACTTTTAGCTTGGTCCAGGGGTCAAGTCGCTGGTTTGAATTTTTAAATAGTTTTTCTTACAGTGAATGGGCCTGGGAGGGTCTTTTTGTGCTGTCAAAAAATGTCTGCGACATTATATGAATCTCGATCAGATTTGTATATTCACTGAAAAAAATGTTTGGTTACTGCTTACACAACAAAAGTGACCACCGAACTAAGTGTTAACTATAACCAAACTAAGTCTAGCTCACTACAGAATTATTTGTTTAATTTACACAACATTTTGTCCCTCATAACCAAAGTGTTCGGTGGTTACTTTTGTTGTGTAGGTAGGTAAGCAGTAACCAAACATTTTTTTCAGTGTTCTTTTACGTCATACTAGCTGACCCGGCGAACTTTGTTCCGCCTTAATGGCAATAAATAACGGGATAAAAAGTATCCTATGTCCTTCTCCTGGCTCTAAACTACCTCCCTGACAATTTTCAGCTAAATCAGTTCAGCCGTTCTTGAGTTATAAGTGGAGTAACTAACACGACTTTCTTTTGTATATAGATATAGATTATGTCAATGTCACTCCTCCCATGCCCCTCCTATACCCAGGCACTGACTTAGATATGAGCTTTAGACCTTCTCACAGGTTTTTTTTAGATACAGGTTTCTTACAGACACATTTTTCTTTAAGTTTTTTAATGAGAAAAAAATATATTTAATAGCTAATTCCTAACAAAAAAACAAACCAAGTCAAGTGCAAAAACGAGTATATAAATAAACAAACATACATTTCTACGCATTGCGGCTGAGGCGGGTACTAAAGGATCCACTAAAACTGACCTCAAACTACCCCCAAGTTTCATTGTGGACCTTAAGTTAATGGCTTAAGGTGCACATTGTAATGCTGCCAAATAGTTGACCGGAGGCTAAATTGTGAATTAGCTTATCCATAAGAGAGAAAGAGTCAGAAATCTCTCTCGCTCTTGCCTTTTTATTTGAATAAATAATAATAAATAATCTTTGGACAATTTCACACAGCGCCAGCTAGCCCCAAAGTAAGCAACTTAATGCTTGTGTTATGGGTGCTAACTTAACGGATATACTACTTATACACTTTTTTTTTTAAATACATACATATTATATATAGTCACACCCAGACCCGTCACAGAAATTAAAATTCATCATTTCAATTTCTGCCCGGCCGGGAATCGAACCCGGGACCTCTCGGCATAGTAGTCCGTTCTGAACCACTACACCAAACGGCCGACCTTACTTTATAATATTCCGTACTAAACATCACTTTGAACTAGTGTTCTATGTGTGTGTAACTTTTATTAGTCAGGGCTCTTTCCTACCGCGACATCCCGTTTTTTACAGATACTGTTTTTTACAGGATCTCCTTTCTTCGTTTCAGCCGAATAACGTCCATTGCTGGACAAAGGTCTCCCCCAAGGATTTCCATAACGACCGGTCCTGCGCCGCCCGCATCCTGGCACCTCCTGCCACCTTCACCAGTTGGTCCACCTAGTAGGAGGCCTACCCATGGTGTAGTGGTTCAGAACGGACTACTATGCCGAGAGGTCCCGGGTTCGATTCCCGGACGAGCAGAAATTGAAATGATGAATTTTAATTTCTGTGACGGGTCTGGGTGTTTTCTATGTATAATTGTATGTATTCACAAAAAAAAAAGTATTTAAGTATGTTTATATCCGTTGTCTAGTACCCATAGTACAAGCTTTGCTTAGTTTGGGGCTAGCGGCGCAGTGTAAAATGTCCAAGGATATTTATTTATTTATTTATTTATTTATACTACTTCTTCCGGCCATCTTTTAGTAGGAGTAGGATCTCTTTAAGTAGTTGGTGATTAATACTGAATTATAATTATAGTGTATAGACATTTGTCTCGAGCGCATACGTCACAGCCCAGTCAGCGGTGGGGGCATTCGGCGTCCGACCGTGGTGCGGGCAGGTCGTGCTGTGTGCGTAGGCGAGCCAAATAATAATCTAATGGCGGAGATAAAGGTGTACAATACAATGGCGACGAGGATTAAAAAGGAGTGTATAAAAAAAAAACGGCGAATTTCGAAAATGCTCAGGTGAAAGCAAGGCAGTTGGCCATTTTGGATGAGGCTATCATTGACTGGTACTTAGAGCAGAAAAAGGACGTCGAGGAGGAATACGACACGGCAGATAAGTACCAGCATGACTTTCGTCTGCTCAAGAAAAAATTTGACAGAGCCTGTGCAGCACAGAAATCTGCAGAAGACCGTGAGGATCGACAACCCAAACGCCAATTCAAACTCCCACAATTGGAATTAGTGAAGTTCGACGGAAATATTAAAAATTGGCTACCTTTTTGGGGTCAATTCGTCAAAATTCACAGTGATAGTTCTATCGATAACAGTGACAAATTTCAATATCTAGTTGCCGCCATCCCCAAGGGTACACCTGCGAGGGAATTGATTGATAGTTTTCCTCCTTCTAGCGACAGCTACCCAATGGCCATTGAACACTTGAAGCAGCGATTTGGTCGTGAAGACCTTTTAATCGAAGTGTATATTCGTGAGTTGCTAAACCTTATTCTTTCACAGGCAAAACATGAATATGAGCTGCCACTCAGTTCGTTGTACGACCAATTGACGACTCAGCTTCGGGCCTTGGAAACCATGGGACTTACCAGCGACAAGTACGCATTATTGTTGTTCCCATTGGTTGAGTCAGCATTGCCGTCGGATACACTAAAGGCATGGGAGCGTTCGCGAACAGGTACGCTGGCATATCAGGGCAATAATTTAAACAATTTGCTTTCATTTTTGAAACACGAAGTAGAGAGTAACCAGCGAATTGTGTTAGCTAGATCCGCGTTTAACAAAAGTGATGTTTTGGATTCAATTTCAAAAGAAGACGCGGTACCTACTACTTCATGTTTCGTCAGTAACGAGCAAAAGAGCGCGAAATCTAAAGAGAATTGCATTTGGTGTGATAAGGATTCTCATATAAGTGCTCATTGTGCCAAGGCAGTCACACTCAGCCTTGACGATAGGAGAAAACACATAAAAAAGGTCAAGGGTTGTTCTAACTGTCTTAGACTAGGGCACAGTTCATTCAAGTGTAGAGCGTTTATTAAATGTGTAGCATGCCATAGGCGTCATAACGTATTATTCTGCACTGAAATCAATAAACACATTCCAAAACATTCTGAGCAAGAATCAAAACCAAAACGTGACAGCCAACTGTCAACAAGTCATTTTAAAAGTGTCACTTTATTACAGACGTTGCTAATCAAAATAATTGTAGACAGCAAAGAGGTGACAGTTCGTGCTTTAATTGACAGTGGCGCACAGAGGTCTTATATTAAGCGGAGTTTAGCTCAGAATTTGAATTTAACCCCTGTTAGGCAGGAGGAATTAGGACATGTTGTTTTTGGTGGTCTTGAAACCAAAAAGGAGATGCATGCCATGTATAACATAACGGTTTCGAATTTACAGGGTTCCTTTAAAATTCCCATGGAGGTATTAGATGAAGATCGGATTTGTGGTTATTTACCTAGGGCGCATGACCGTGCTTTATTGGAGCAACTTCGCGCTCTAGATATTAGCTTGACAGATGTCGGACATGACATTCCGGAAATAAGTTTGTTAATTGGTGCGATTACAGTGGATTGCTGTTAACAAGTAAGCTAGTGCAGTTAAATAATAGGCTTACAGCAGTTCATACCAAGCTAGGATGGACGTTACAAGGTGTAACTGATATTTCAGACACTAGTTCATTTACGACAAACCTTTTAATAAACGATATTAACGATTTATGGAACTTAGAGTCTTTAGGGATCAGGGATCCGGCGGAAACAAAGAGTATTAAACAAATAGAGGATGAGACACTTTTGAGGTTTGAAAAAACTGTCACTATTAATCAAGAGGGCAGGTATGAAGTTAATTTACCATGGAAAGATGAAGGTTTTTATCAGGATCCGCTAGGTAATAATCATGAATTGGCTTATAAGCGTTTAATATCAAATTCCAAACGTTTATTACGGTTAGATATTTATGAAGAATATGGAAAAGTTTTACAAAATTGGCTTGAACTCGGGATAATTGAAGAAGTCCGCGATGATGACAAAAGTGGCCATTATCTATGTCATCACGGTGTAGTAAAAAATACTAGCGCTACCACCAGACTTCGTCCTGTTTTTGATGCGTCCGCTCGGGATAATTCAGGCAGGTCTCTTAACAGCTGTTTAGATAAGGGTGCTAATTTGATAGAAAAAATTCCAGAGCTTCTAATCCAATTCAGATTACGATCAGTAGGAATTTCTGCCGATATAGAGAAAGCTTTTTTGCAAGTATCACTAAAAGAAGATGATCGTCAGTATTTAAAATTTCTTTGGTGGAAAGATATTGCCAAAGAAGAGACTATAACATTTAGACATTGTCGAGTTGTGTTCGGTTTGACATGTAGTCCCTTTCTGCTTAGTGCTACTATTCGATACCATCTCAACAATTCACCACAGGAATTACGTCAAACAGCTGATCAATTACTCAAAGCATTCTATGTTGACAACTGCATTCTTAGCCTAGAGGAAGGTGACGTAGATCGTTTTGTTAGTGAGTCTGTTTTATTAATGAAAGGAGGGAAATTCAATCTGCGAGAGTGGGTAGTTTCACCTATGGCAGGATATGTTTCACAGAAGCCAGATCGTTTCCGTTCTTGGCATGCTGTGGGATACACAGGCGGACCAAATTTTATGCAATTTGAATTTACCATCCGTTCAGAAAGAAAAAGTCACAAAGCGGTCATTGTTGTCAATAGCTCAAAAGGTTTTTGATCCTATCGGTTTCACGTGCCCTACATCTTTAGTTCCAAAGCAAATTTTGCAAGAGGCATGTGTGTTAAAATTGCGCTGGGATGACGAGTTACCTTGTGACATGGTGAAAAATTTTAACAATTGGTTAACTCATATACATCTTCTGAAAGATTATAGAATTCCTCGTAGATTAACGGAATTTCCTATAGATCAATGTGAAATTAGTTTACATACTTTTTGTGATGCAAGTCAGAAGTCTTTCGGCTGCTGTGTATTTCTGAGGACCGAGTTTGAAAATCACGTGACTGTACGATTGGTGCTAGCGAAAGCGAGAGTTGCACCATCAAAGGCAAAGGTTACTATTCCTCGGTTGGAGTTGATTGGTGGCGTAATAGCCACGCGTCTTTGTCGCCAAGTACTAGATTCTTTAGGATTTCACTGTTCAACTTATTTCTGGAGTGATTCTACAGTAGTTCTCACTTGGATTAAAAAACAAGCTCCGTGGGCTACCTTTGTGCAAAATAGAGTAAAAGAGATTCGTAACTCCACTAATGTAGATGATTGGTTTTACGTGCCGAGCCATCTTAATCCAGCCGATTTACCATCAAGGGGTTGTGACGCGAAGACTCTTCTTGAGTCGCAATGGTGGACAGGTCCAGAGTGGTTAGGACTTCCTAAAGATCAATGGCCGAGGTGTGATACGGGAAGTATAGAAGACAAGGAAGCTTTCACAGAGTTAAAGCGCACAGCGGTCTGTTTAAATATATTAAGTACTTCGACCTTTTTACAGGATATTCTTTATTTTTCTAAATATTCCAAAATAGTGAGAATGGTTGCTTATATTTTACGGTTTATTCACAATGTAAGAAATGCTAACGTTCATAATAGGAGGGTTGGTGCTTTAAATGCTGAGGAATTGGATCAGGCAGAAATATTAATCATGAAGTTGATCCAGCAACAGAACTTAGAACGGATTAACAGTAAGAATTTAACGATTTTAGAAGATAGCGAAAATATTTTGCGGCTTAAAACAAAATTGTTACTTTTAGATACGACACAAGGTGTTAAAATGCCAATTGTGTTACCGAGTAGTCCAATAGTTCGTAGACTTGTCGAAGAACGTCACATTTTATTGCAGCATGCAGGGTTGAATATCCTCATAACAGATCTTCGACAACGGTTTTGGATTATAGGTATTCGCAAACTAGTCAAATCAGTTTTAGCCAGTTGTGTAATATGTAGACGTTATTCTGGAAAACATGCGAATGCGCCGACTGCACCTTTGCCAGTTGATCGTTTAGAAGCGGCGGCTCCGTTTCAAATTACAGGCATTGATCTGGCAGGTCCTTTAATATTGCGAAATAATGAAAAGTGTTGGATAGTTTTATTTACTTGTGCCGTTTATAGAGCTGTGCACCTTGAATTGACCAAATCCTTATCCACCGAAGCATTTCTTATGTGTTTTCGTAGATTTATCGCTCGCCGGGGTCGCGTGTTAACTGTTTATTCTGATCACGGGACCAATTTTGTCGGGGCAAAAAATCTACTTGCTTCTTTAGACTGGGAGAATATTCAACGCGAGTCGTCAATTGGTCGCATCAATTGGAAGCTAAATATACCTACAGCCCCATGGTGGGGTGGTTTTTGGGAGCGTCTGATTCGCTTGATGAAGGATCTGTTGCGTAAGGTCTTAGGGAAATCTTGCTTGACATATGACGAGCTAGCTACAATCCTTTGTAACTGTGAGGCGACAATAAATGCCAGGCCATTAACGTATGTAGGGGATGACAGTTGTAAGGAGTTGGCTCCTCTCACTCCTGCAATTTTTTTAAGTCCACTTTCACACTCAGATGCGAATCCTGATCTCGATCAAATCGACGGCAATTATTTGGGCACACGGGTACAATATCTAGCCAAATTAAGGGCAGCTTTCAAACGTCGGTTTGTGGCAGAGTACCTCACTACTCTGATTCAAAGGGGGAACGACAAAGCTACGTCTCCTAACATAAGGTTGGGAGACGTAGTTTTAATTGAAACGCCGGAAAAACGAGTGAAGTGGCCATTGGGTAGAGTCGTTGAAATAAGATGCGGCAGGGACGGAATCCCGAGGACCGCCATTGTAGAGACGGCCACGGGAAGAAGGGCACGTCCTTTCCAGCGGCTGTATCCTTTGGAGGTGTCGGCAACTACCCCTTTATAGGAAGTTTTATTTTAAGTTTATGCAGTTTGTTCTTGTTATTGTATGTTTTATTTTTATTTTTTACACATGCAATAGAATGTAATTTTTTTCATTTATGTTTGTTTAAACTTAATTGTCGCATGCGGAAGATGTAGACAAACCTCCTTTTTAGTTATTTATGGTTTTGTCTATTTATTTTACTTTTTTACTTTTGTCTTTTGTTGCATTACAATGGCGTAACAAGATTGCTGTGTTTTAATTTCTATTCACATTTTACATAAGTTTTGCCCTTTCTTTAACAGATATATTAAATCGATTTTCTGAAAAATATTGTATCGCACTGTAAGAAGATATTATTCAACTTATTGGAAAAATCGGCCATCTTCTTAACCTGAAACTGCATGAAACTGCTGAAACTCATGCACGAAACTCGAAACGTTACGTTATATGCCTATGTGTATTATAAAAAAATTACAATGAAACGATCTAGATTGTTTTAGCCTAGTAGAATTGTAGTTTATTCAACATCAAAGCTAACTCGAGTAAACACTCGAGTAACAACTCTGCCAACAGCAGCCCTTCAAAGGTTTTACTGCTTGCATTGGCCGCTGCAAGTCGCCGATATCCAATACCCGTTCCCATGCGTCGTTACTAATATGTAGGTATTTTTAGATGGCTTCTTTCAATTTTGCATTTATTTCGTTTCAGATGTATTCTACACGAACGACACACCGCGGTCCGACACCATCAATTTGAATTTATCAGAGGTATGTGATTTTGTGATTTTTATCATAATCTACTTACCTATTTATAATAATAATAATAACTTTATTATTATTTATTTGATATGAGTAACCTATCCCTATCTGTATTTTTTACTGGCAACAAAAGCGGTAAAAAAATAAAACATTTATCAATTTGTGTGAAATCGTAGCTTAAACAGGGTTTAGGCACGGCAGCTTTAACTAAGGTTTTGACGATTAAAATTATGAAATGGTCACCTTTTTACAACTTTAAACTTTTTTGAAGAACTTGTGACTTTGATACGAGTGTGTGCCCCATACACACAGGGCATGTAATTAATCCTATGGTATGATCGTTTAAGAGATGAATGTTCGGGGAAAACTCATCAATGCAACTTTGCCGTTCAAAAGGGTTCAAGTTGCTGCTCTAAATTACTGCCTAACTTCAATCCGCTTATAGCTCAAATCAGCTATCAAAAATCTAGATACTAGATTACAGATTATTTAACTTTAGCTATTTCACAGGTTTTGTTTTCAAAACCAACACAATTTGACACATAGGTCAATAGGTTCTATTTTCAACAACAGCATATTTCCCATTGTCGTCTACATTTTACCATTATTACAAAAAATCACTTCACTTAAAAATTAGGGATTGATGGTGAAAACGGGCATGAGACAGTTTAATCTCTATTCTTGAAATGATTTTTGAGTAGGTTTTTTTGGTAAAACTGTGTGAAATTTTCTGTTTCAGTGGCTGAAATGCGCATTAATGTGTTAGGCAGATACAACTACACAGCCATGAAGACCTCAGAAGAAAGAAGATACGACACAATAAAATCTGAAATTTGATAATTAATCATGAAAAGACGAAGTTTGTAGTTTTTGAACTCGGATAAAGACACAAACCACGACAGAAGATTCTAGTTTCGCAGGATGGTAATTTTCTACAAACAACAACTTTTTTTGCAACAAAAATCTTTGGCTTTTATACCTTTGAGAAAGTTATTTAGGAACTAATATCTACCTACTTGAAGTGGCAGAAGATATTAGAATATTAACTACACATAATCCCTTCTATTGAGCTCAAGAGCATAG